TTTAAAAAAAAAAAAAAAAAACTCATCATAGTTATCGATATTTATCGATTCTTACTAAATTTCCAATGATGTATGAAATTAAATAGACAAACAAGTGTCGTACCCACCAAACCTGTGATGTCACTCAATAATATTTATGCACTGCCTCTGCCAGTTGCATGCGCAATAAAAATTTGAGCATACCCCATTTTCCTTTGATCACTTTTAATGGGTACAGGGTATTAACAGCAACTCGAAAGTAATTAAATATTTTAAAACAAACAAACTACTTGTTGCCCGGCGAGACGCAAGCACAGACAAGCAACACACACACACGCACACACACCTACACATGTGAAGAGTCATATATACACACATGTATATGGACGATATCATATTGCTTGGCTCTGGCTTTGGTCTGGTGGTTGTTTCACTCTCTTTCGCTTCTGGCCATGACTCACAGGAGTCGGTTGCAAGGTAACCGACTGGCAATCAGTCTGGCTGACCCTTTGCGCCCTGGCTTAATCATCATCAGCAGCAACTGCCGCAGCAGCAGCCGCGCATCGCCAAAAAGTGAAAATGATCTGAGAATGGGAACAATAACATTATTCTCAACGGATAGTCGCGCCGTCTGTTTGGCCCAGTTCTCTGTTCTCTGTTCTCTGTTCTCTGTGACGCACCAAAGGCAGAGGCGATCGCATCGGTTGTTGCCTCTGTTGCACTTAATCATCCGACACACGGTCGCCCGGCACTTTTTGGCTACCCAAAGTTGGCATTACGCATCAGCCGCCCCAATTTGGAGTCACGACGTTGACGCCGCGTCGCCGACAGCCCTATGAATGGGATTGCGCTTTAATAGACACGATTCAGAGCCACTCATCGCTGGGCTATGCCGCCAGCTTCGTTTAGTCATAAGTGTCGCACCGTAATTGATGATTACTAATACTGGGCCCGGTGGCATAAACAATATGCATATGGTCAGGCTATTGCCAATTACCATCTAAAACGGCTTTTTCTCGATAAAAAAAAATATATATATATGTATGTATATACCGTTCGACAGACGGTTTCCACAGTCTCCAATCTCCAATTGGTAATTGGCAGGCCTTAGTTCGAGTTCCGTTTCATATAAATTGATCTATCAATGACTACGTAACTTCCGGTGAAGCTATGTCTGGGAATGTGGAACTTGGAACATGGAACATGGATCATATAAAAGGAATGCTCAGCGAGACTTGCAAATTAGATCATTTATATGATGAAATCGTACTGATTTTAGACGTGATTCAAATTGATAACTATATGTATTATATATATTATACTATGTTCCTATATTATTAATTATCGGTACAGCATATTGTTTCATTAGTTCCACAAATTCCGATTTCTATATCTGTCGCAGCAAACGCTTTGTTTATTTATGATATTAGTCAGTGCATTTCTATAATATTGAATGATGCAAGCGCACACAATCAAGGATCTTTCAGTCATATATACATGTATAAGACCTGATGTCATATACCATTTTATGAACCAACTTTAATAGCGCTAATTGTATTCATTATCTCAAGATTAATCTACACATATTTGCGCGAATGGCAGTCGAAAACAATTTAAGATGCATCATAATCTAAAAAAAAACCTAAAAGTAAAATCTAGAGTAACTCAGGTTAATCTATTTATTTATTGAGTAGAATATATATGTATTTATGTATTATCCGTAAATCAAGCAAAATTATATCGATCATTGTATACCTTACTATATATTAGTAATGCCCTTCTTATGCTCCAAAAGTATAGAGTCTTGCGATGATCAAGTGCATTTCAAAGTTCCGCTTGGGCATTTCCTTACTATTTTAACGTCTTATTCTTCTGAGCCATTCATGCTCAACTGGGCTTTGAACCCGGATTTTTATTATTCATTGATTTAGTCATTTAGGCATTTCATCATTATTTTAACATTCTTCTTGTTGCTCTCTATAGCTCTATAATAATTGTATTGCATTGATAGCTAACTAGGATTTAAACCAATTCTGCGATTTGTCTACTTTTCCTCGAACATTTCATTGAGTCGCTTGGGTATTTCATAATTATTTTAAAATTCTTGTTTATCTATGGATTTGTAATATCCTTATCGATTGGTGCCTGGCTTCTTCTATTAGTCAACTGTGATTTATGATTTCAGAGTTCCGCTTAAAGTGATCTCACTGGAAATACGTACATATACATACATATATGCATACATCTTCGTATAGTTAGCAGACGCTAAGAAAGAACATCAAGTTGTTTGGCAAGTTCTTCCCCTCTTGGCGGCATTTTAGCCTAGTCTAAGATGGGCTAATAGTGACTTGGCCCACTGTCTGTTTCAGTGCGGCGTCCAATGAGTCACACACACATACACATGGGGCAGGGCGGGTTGGGCGCGTTTATGGCGCGTTTTATGCGCGTTTTTAACTGTCTGTGCGACGGGGTCATTAACTAAGAGAATTTATGAGCAGCAGGCGCACGGTGACCAGTTGTCTGCTGACGACAAAAGACCCACACGCACACACACGCACACACACACGCACAACCATGTATAGCTGTGATGAGTATGCCTATTTTTAGGCTAGACTATATATAAAGATATATCTATGGACATCATCCTTAACAAAAAATAGACAGCTGAAGTGGCTAAGAATTTATATTATTATCATCATAATGCAATAAAAGCTCTACAAACAAACAGCTGATTAGCAGAGGCGTTAAAATTTCAAACAAATTTTATTTAGCTTAAAAAATTAACCGTTAAAATAATAAAAGCAAAATTTTTAATTCTAAAATTAGCTTTTTATTCGATTTGAAAATAAAGAATTTTGAGCAAACAATAAATAATAATATTAATATTAAT